AAAATTTTATCACTTTTTGAGTACACACAATAAGCAAACTGAATGAGACTCACCATCATCAAACTGTTGTGCATCAGCTGGATTGTAATCTAAAGCCTTGCGAAGTTCCGGAGTCCAGCTGCTCAAGTCTTTCTCCGAATAGCGGCCTTTCCAGCGCAAATGCGTCCATGGATTTTTCACCAGCAGAAGCCGTTTGCCCTGTGGAGCAGGAAACGTAAAAATGATTATAATTCGCAAAACAGCTAGTGAATAAATAATAGCTGAAATTATGACAAATTTGAGAAAGTATTTCGCACCTGGACCTTCCTTAAATCCAATACAGCATATGCATGGGCATCAACAAGACCAGTTCGTTCGACAGTCTGCGCATCCATTATGCCAGTTGCCAAAGTTATTAAGCAGTCGCCTTTGTGGAATCTGCAAAAAAATTTAAACAATAACACAATGATGATGGTGACAACAATAACGAAAAGAATAGTGTAACAACAGCAACAAGAAAAAAAAAACAAGCTTCGACGCTACTGCGGATTTTCTGACGATACTGATAACAAGCACCTCCATTCGGAATGATGTCAAGTTTAAAGAAGCGACATAAAACCAAAAGGAGGGGAGGAAGAGGGCGCAGGTTATTCGTTATTTGCATCAGCTGGGAATTTTCAGTGAAATTCGTAACAGCCTAGGAATCCACTTCAAATGACAATACTGAAGATTCCTACGAGAAAGTCAATGGACCATTTAAGCAATTTATAGCATATGGTGGCTGGAAAGATCAGTGCAGAAATGGGAATTAGGATGGATCAGAAGAGATTTCCAAAACAAGCAAAAAGTCAAAAAATGTCAATCATGGGCTGCAAGGAGCTACAGCACAAGCTTTCTGCAAGGAAATTATAAAATGACAAAAGATTAAGATAATTCTTGAAAGGAGATGCTACGGGGAACAAAAATTCAGAAAAACACCACTAGAAAGAACTATATCTAAGAATTGCAGTTGCGTCACAACATAGCAGTAGCGTTTGCAGCCAGGAAGATCGCAGGGCAAGGATTAGTACTGGATTTAAGCACTGAATCGTGTCGAAAAATAATAATAATAATAATAATGATGATAATAATAATAATAACAATAATAACACTATCATTGGAGGAACAATAGTAACAACAATAATAATAACAATGATAATAATATGACAATAATAGTGAACAACAATAACATTGCCGGTCAATGCCGGCAATAACAATAATATTGAGAGCGGCAGCAACGACAGTGGAAATATTTAAAATATTAACTAGAATGCACATTAAAAAAACCAACTTACTAAAAAAAAAAGTAAAAATACCTTAAAAAAAGTTTCTCGAATGTGTTGTCGGCCTCGATATCGGACCAGTCTCTTCTAATCGCTATCCTCTCCGGTATCCAACCTGTCAGCGCATGCATATCAATACTCTAAAATCACCCAAGATAAATGATAAGAAACATCAACGGAGCAGTTAACTAATGCAGAGGTGTCTTTTCTCCGATACATCGAAGTTGCTAAGGTGCTAAAAGAGTTAAATTAAGCTCGAAAGCAAGCTTGTAGGGGAAAAAATAAGGAAAATTCAATGTTTACAAACAAGTTGGAAGATGCCATAACAATCCATCGAAATCACTAGAAGCCCCGCAACCGCTAAAAGCTAAAATGAACGAACAGACGAAGTACTGTTCCGTTAGCGAGTAACGACTTTCTCTATAAATTCTTTGCTTTTATTCAATTTCAGTGGCACTAAACTGTAACAGCTTACCGAGTTCGAGCCTGGGAAATCGTAACCACCCATTACCTTCATATACGCCTTTTCCAGCAAAGAAACCCATAACTCATTCCTGAAGAACTTCATAGATGAGTTGCATGAAAACGGCAACAAATAAGAGAATACATGCCGAAATAACAAACTTATTTTGACTATATGAACAAAGGAAGTCGCCATATCGTCCAACCGGGAGCATGTCATCGATGATCACCTGAAATTATCATTGTTGTCACTATTATTATCACTAGTATTACTATTATTATCATTATTATTGCTGCTGCTGTACAAAAAATTCCATTTATGCAGTTTTCTTAAAAATGGAACATCGACAAAAATTAGACGATAAGTTTTACAGACTCAAGTATCTTCAGTAATATGTGATAAATTTAAGGCTTTGTGCCCCTAAACTGATATCTGAAAGACATAAGCCAGCGCAAGCTTAGTCAACCCTAAAGAAGAAGACTGAAAAACCCCTCCACCGCTCCACAAGCGATAACCGTAAAACCCCTCCACAAGTCCCTTATTTTTGCTCGCGCCTAGAAAACTAAAGCCAAATATTATCATTGCATTCAAGAAGAACGTACCTTCCTCCAAACACCGTTAAAATGCATCTTGATCATATACTTGCCGCAAGGGTTATACATCGGTATGCCATATTTATTCTGAGGATATATTATGCTGTAACAAA